ATAATCCAGTCAAAAAATGGGCAGAAGAGCTAAAAAGAAACTTCTCTGAAGAGGAAATGCAAATGGCCAACAGGCATATGAAAAAATGTTCAACATCACTTGCCATCAGGGAAATGCAAATCAAAACTACCATGAGATACCATCTTACACCAGTGAGAATGGCACATATTAAAAAAACTAGCAACAACAAATGTTGGCGAGGGTGTGGAGAAAAAGGAACTCTTCTACACTGTTGGTGGGAGTGCAAACTGGTCCAACCACTGTGGAAAGCTGTGTGGAGATTTCTGGACCTACTAAACATAGAGCTTCCATATGATCCAGCAATTCCACTCCTAGGTATTTACCCAAAGGACACAGAAACATCAATTCCAAAGAACACCTGCACCCCTATGTTTATAGCAGCACTGTTTACAATAGCTAAGCTTTGGAAACAACCCAAATGCCCAAAAATAGATGACTGGATCAAGAAGATGTGGTCCATATATACCATGGAATATTACTCAGCATTCAAAAAAGATAAACACATGCAATTTGCAGCAACGTGGATGGCGCTGGAAGGGATCATGCTCAGCGAAATAAGCCAAAAAGAAAAAGAAAAATACCGGATGGTCTCACTCATAGCAGGAATCTAGAAAACTTAAATAAGGGACCAGGAAAACGAATAACTATAAGAAAGTGAAAATCAAAATCAACAAAAAACTATGAACCAGAGACACTTTTAGGGGGGTTGGGGCGGGAGGGGAGGGATTGGGGTCAGAATGGGGGGCTGCAATTGTATGGAGAATACAACAATAAAATTTATTATTAAAAAAAAAAAAAAAAAAAAAAACAAAACAGAATAACTGAAACCTGGCATTTTTATAGAATAGACCATAATACAACAGTAAAAATGGATGAGCATGTATAAAATTAATGATAGATGCAAAACCATGGATAATCTTAAAAACATGATTTTTTGAACAATAAAATGAGTTGCAAATTAAAAAAAAAAAAAAAAAAAAAAAAAAAAAAAATGTTAAAGGGTGAAATAGTAAGGAGGAAAAGGTAAATCACATTATGAACAATTAATTCCTTTTTATTCATTCATCAAACATTGATTAAGACTTCTACTGAGCTGACCCACACAAAACTGTGAGAATACTGTAGTTAGTAAAAGAGCTCCTGCCTTCATGGAGCTTTCTATTTAGTGAGGAAGTCAGACAGCAACCAAGCAAACCAACTAGATAAGGAAAAAGTCTGAGGATAACAAGAGAGACATCTTTTTTAGAAAGGGTGGGTAGAAAATGGCACCTCTGGAGAAGTTAGATCTGAACTCCAAAAACTAGAAAAGCTATATAAAGAATTGGTGAAGAGCATTTCAGGCAGGGTACTTGCCAGTCCTTAGGCATTAAAACATGGGAGAAACTTATGGAGAAACTGAGGGGAAAAAAGTATGACCATAATAATTAAGGAAGTAGGCACAAGATTTGTAGAGGTAGATGGGGGCCAATGCATGTAATCTTGTAAGGCATTCTGGGATATCTGAACTCATTCTCAAGGGTGGGTGGTGGAGAAATAACTGAAGCGCTTTACACTGGGCAGCAATACTTGCTGTTATAGAAAATAGAGTGGAAAAACAAGGGAAATAGGGAAGCCACTTAGGCGGTTACAGTAATACAGGCCAAGTATGGTGCTGGCTTGACTAGGATAATGTGGCAGGGAGTGGAGAAAGTGGCAATAAAGATATGTGATGGAGGAAGAATCAAAAGACTGTCTGCATATGTGAGAGAGCGAAAGGACTTGATGTTGAGAAATAATATGGTGTTAAGTTATTGATTTGGGGAGAATGCCTTGTGTGGGAAATGAAGCAATAGCTGGAAAAAAAGAGCTCAATTTTAGACATGGCATTTGGTATTTGTGACATCTTATGTTTAATTATGCTTATGCTACTGCTTAATAGACATACTGAACTCTGTTCTGCCTCTCTCTTACATCTTAGGTTTTGACCTCAATAATTGCATAACTTTTTTTCTCAGAATCACCTTTTACCTTTTCATGCACATCTCCCAGCAAATTCTGAGCACATAGTTGATGTTTAATAAATGTTTAATAATGCGGGGCCTCCCTGGTGGCGCAAGGGGTCAAGCACAGCACTGTGAAGCTAACCGCAGCCTCTGCAGAAACAGTTCGATCCACCCAGCCAGGGAACAACCCACATGGTGCAGCAGATCTCTCCTGTCTCCCCCGCTACTCCCCTCAGCAGTGTATTTCAGTCAGTCTGCCTGTTCTGCTCCCCACTGTCTCTGGTGAATCTTCTCACCCACCCCACATCTGGCCTATATTCCAGTTCTTGTATGCATAAATAAATAAATCTATAAAAAATGTTTTATTTAATAATGATCTCATAAACATCTTTTCAACTTTACACTTATTAGTGTGTCTTCATGCAAACTATAAAATTCTAGATGACTCTAGCCTAGGTCTACAGAACCACACTTGAAGCTTAGAATAGTATAATATTTTGATTCAGTTTACTTTGCAACCTGGTCACTTTTTTTCCCTCTAGGGCTGCTTTGAAGATGCCTAGGTTGTATCCTGATTTACCATGAAAACTCAAGACACCCTGCCCTCGGGGAGTGGGGATCAATTTGATTTTCAAAATAAGCACTGGACCAGAGAACATTTCCTGATACTTTCAAACTAGAGTGGGATCTCCAAAATTGTAGTCTTCACCTACAACTTCATTCCCAACTTGTCAATAAATTTAGGAATTATTAAATGGCAGAAGTTTAATTGGCAACAATCCACAAACTTGCTTTAAGTTTGACTTCTGAAATCCAACATTTTGGATTATACTTTGTTGAAGAAAATCATTGGCATTTCTGATTTTGTGGGATCTTTTTATCTTGCTAATACTTTTGTGGTAGATGACTGGGGAGAGCTTTGGCATCCGGGGAAACTGCATGAAACCTAAGCAGCCAATTTCTTCCTAGTTGTAATTGGCCCAAACTTCCCTACCATAAAGGCCTCCTCAGGATGGCTAAGGGTAAGTATATTATTCTTTCTTGTTCACCCAAAGCAGTGCTCTCTGCTCTATACACATGAAAGTTTGAAAATTTTTAAAGGCAGGGATCTTACATCCCTATCTCCCAATGAACTTTATAGCGCTTGCTTATTCAATTGGCATTTCTTTTACATAAGGAGATGGAAACACGTTGTCTTTTACTTATGTAACAGATATACCAGGGGGTGTAATTCAGCTTTCTTCTTCCTATATTTGTTAGGTCTGTTATTGTTAATACTTTTTTAGTCTGAAACATTTTATTAGAACAAGGGATACTGCAAAGCTGCTTATATAAATCCCCTTTATCTAGAAAGTGGGGTCAATAATATTAAGATAAAAAAGATCAGCTTGCAAGATCCTCTTCTATTCATAGTCAATACTCTTATCAATTCGAAAAGAAACAGAACAAAAATTTATAGTTCTCTTCAATTCCAGTAAATTTCTGGTAATATTAACAAAAATGGGATTGAACTAAAACACTCACTTGGCAGGCTTACTGAAAAAAAGTTCAAGTTGGGCAGTTAAGATAAAATCATGACTGCACACTTGCCAAATCCACCCTCATTGACCTACTCTCAGCATTACCTCCCCACCAATAACACCTCAAATAAACAATGACTCAATCCCAAATTTAAAGTGTAGGTGCCAAAAACCCAATGCAAAATATTTTGTTAGGGCAGGTAACCAAGTTTTGGGACTGTAAGCTAGACAAGACAATTGCAATCCGCTATCTTCCCAGTGAATGGCTGATGTGTAAAAGCTGATGAGGACAAGGCAGTTTGGGAAATTGCTTTTAACAGTTAAGTCTTTGAACAACAGTCATATCAATACTAAAACACAGCAGCTCATAACCAACCACATCTCTCCCTCCCTCATTTGCCCAGGACGTTATTTTCTTGTTTCCTGCATAAGTTATCAAGTTAGTCATGTTATTTGGAAAATTAAATACAATCTAAAAATATTGTGCTGTTATTACTACATCTTCTCTTTCCACGGCAAACTGTTCTTTTTTAGGAAGAAATTCATTTTTCAAGTATCAAAAACCTTAGTCTGTTCCGCTACCTCTATTTGTGATGCTACCTGAGGGAAATGGGTAAGTTACGGTGAGATGTTTGAAAGATGTTAGGTTAAACCAAGTTTTAAATGGTTTCTTTATGCAGGATGTCTCCGATCTTTTAATATGAATATGCATTATTATAAAGCTCCAAGGGGCAAGGGGAGTAAAGTATAGAGCATGTGCAAAGCTTATTTGCTCATGGAATCCCTTTCATGGAACATGTTATGGGATTAAGGGTATCATGGAACACACTGGGAAATGTTAGTTTATGTACATTCTAATTTTTATAGGCCTGCTTGACACCTTATTCTAAGCTTGAAACATTTAGATTAGAAATAAAACTTGCAGAACATAACCAAATCACAGACATCTTCATGGAATGTTTTTCCCAAAATGTCATATAAACCTCAAAGATAGTTTCCAATTATTCAGAGTAAGATAAAAATCAAAACTCAAACACCTGAAAAATTTTATTCCTAAAGCACACTTATATCAATAATCCAATTAAAGTTTTATTTGTAAGGTATAACTTCTAAAATGGATTTCCTACATCTAAAAATGCCTGGATAAAGAACATGTAATTTAGTAAAATCTGGATTTGAATCCTGTTACTTAGCACGTATGAGACACTGAGTATAAATAACTTGGCCAAGAGCACTTTCTAATAAAGATATCTGCTTCATATGGTTGCTTTCAGGATTAGAGACCTATAATACCAAGCAAGGGTGAAGAGGTTCTCAATAAATGGTAGCTCCTGTTATCATTCCTATTTTAACTAAAGAAATGACTCTGCCACAGTGCAGTTCAAGATATTCTCCTGCAATATAGAACAACTTACCAAGAGGACATGGTTCCAAGATAGCTGGAAAGCAAGAAAATAAAATCCACACACAGATAATTTTTATATTATTGTATTTTATTACAATGTGTTGAGTGTACTAACTTAAAGGAAAAAATGTAAACAAAATGAAGGTCTAGTGAAAAATGGCACTTCAACTTTAATCTTCAACTTAGTTATTTTTAACAATCCATTTATACCATTATATGTCTCAGATTTTAAAGATCATTTCTGAATTTTAGACTGAAAAATGAATAAACAGTTAAGCAGAGGAAATGCTACTGGTTAAAAAGTTAAATCTCTCTTGGCTAGAATTAAACATTGACAGGTAACTTTCTCTATAAAGGAAAGTCTACTTTGGAGCATAAAGTTACATTTTTTGTGTAGTCCAAAACCATGTCAAGTAGAACTCATGACTTGATGAAAATAGTCTTACTCAATTACATTTGACTACTTAAAATCTTACTGAGCATGCTATTTGCTGTGTCTTACCTCCAACACAACTCTCTACTTCCTGAAACAAGTTTATTATTTAAGTTTCAAGAAGTAGTTTATAGGAAACACCAAAAGAATCAGTTGTTAGAGGTATAACCTTTTCTTCATTGTACACAGCTATTTCTAAAAATAAAGAGTATGTACTTTCTAAGAATAAAATGAGAAAACCAAAAACTGTGGTCTCTGTGCATGAACATATACACACATAGGCACGAACTTAAGTTTCCCCAAATGTGTTAGGCAGGTATAACTCAAAATTCTAACGTCAGAAAGTAAAGATAAACACTTGTTTATAAATCAGTGATACTTGCTTATATACTTTAATTAGAATACTACACCTGCAGTTAGTTCAGATGTACTTTGATTGGATCCCATTAGGAAAAAAAGACATTCAAAATAATAAGCACATTCTTCAAACAGCAGAGAATTCTCCCACTTTATTTATCTTGACTTACTGGTATTTCATAAATTTGCAAGTGGAAGATAAGCTGTTCAAAAAAGCCTTTTCATATACATAATACACAGAAATTATTTTAAAAGTCTATTCACATAATGGATTCTTTTGGTACTAATGAAAAATTGAGATACAAATAAATGACTAGAAATGAAACCATGACTAAACAAAGAGCAAAGGAACAACACTACATTTCAGGGAAAAAATCCAAATCTTACTGTTAGAAGAATAAAGTATATCTGTCATAGTATACATTATCAAATTCCCTTAAAGCAGGGATTATTTGAAGTTTTTAAATGAAAAAAAGTTCAGGATTACCTCTGTTTTTACATTCAGTAACTATCATAGCAACATCGGTTACATACAACATCTGCCTCATCTCACCAAAAAAACCCTAGGGGTTTTCTAAGTCAAACAATAAATACCAGCAATTCAATAAGCAAGCTGGAGAGGAGGAGAGATTTGAATTGGAGAGGAGGAGAGATTTTGCAGCTGAATTGTATCTCCGGTATATAGTACGGCTGCTGGTCACTCTATTTTTTCCATGCATTAGAAGAACAGGGACTGATAGTCAAAATAAAAATTCCATTGTGTAGCAAATGATAGAATTTGTAACAGCAGAAAGAGTTCCTAATGTCATAATAATCGTTATGATGCTTTACAAAGGATTTTGTGCACATGTGTGGAAAGGAGTAAAAAACAAAGGCAGGTTAAGAAAAAGGGAATGCTGAGACTGTATTAGAATTATATTTATTTTAAAAATTGATCTGAAATCTGCCCATAAAGTATACAAAAAAAAGTCAGAGTAGACATTAGTGCAAGTTTAACCTGATAATTTATTCATGAAAAGAGCTAGTTTTGATGAGGAAAAAGTTCAATCCTTTCCTTGTAAACATAAACAACAGGAGTTTTAAAGGTAATAGGCCAGAAAATGCAACAATAACTTTTATAATATAATCCTTTTCAATTAAACAGACAAATCAAGTTGAAGACACCTGTTAAAATACTTTGTAGACTGAATATTCACCAGTCTATATAATCTTGTTCCAATTGGGATTTTTGATTTTTAAAAAAACTTTTTATAAGAACTATCACATCTAGAAGTGAAGAAAATAAATTAGATCCCTCCCCCCCAAGATATTATTTTACCTCTAAATCATAAAAAGCTTTGTAATTATCTTATACAAATTAACCAGTGTTCTTACAAAATTAATGTGGTTTTGGACTGATGACATTACACTGTGTTTGTGGTGAAGTACTAGGCACAAGAATATATATATCAATTAGGCATTTTCAGTCTAATTAGTCTCTAAAGTTATTTAATTCTTGGCAATATATAATAACTGGTATGCATTTTGGTACATAAGGTCTGAATTGTAGAGAACAAGAAGCTGTGTATTATAGTAACAGGGTTTGTATGTGACAATTACAGTGTTGAACAAGTATCTTCTATGAACTCTGTGATTTGTTTTGCAGTTGGTCACCTGAAGTAGATCCTGCAAAGATAAAAGGAAAAAATCAACATAATTTATTTGTTGTGTATTGCCAACCTTGGAACTATCTGCTATAAAGTTTCCTAACGTGGCCATGGATAATAAACAAATAGGTATCTAAAAATCAAAGGTATATTTTATAATTAGTCTGTGACTAATTATATGAAAGAATCTCTATTCCGCCCCCCACCCCCAAATATTTTAAAGAGCAGAACAGGAGTATACTTGGCATTAGAACAAACAGGTTTCAGACTGATCATTTCTGTGACTAAATCACAGGTAGATAACTAAGAGTTTGTTACAACTCAAATCTCCAAAGCTATAAAAGACAAAGTGACAAAATATTTCCTCAGAGTCTAAAATGCCACCTTTCTTTTCACAAAGAAAGGTATAAAATAGATGGGGATAGCAAGGGTGAGGGAGAATAACAACAATGCTTAAGAAGTAATGGGTCCTATAAAATCTAGAAATTTTAAAAGCTGGTGAAATTTCCTAAGGGTCGAAAAAGGGTACAAGAAAAATAGGAAACTTACTTGCCTATGTCTTATCATGTAGTCTTTCTATTCTTGCGGACTTTATGAAACTAAGTAGGATATACTCTTATGTAAGGAGTACTTCATCTGCACTGAAGAAAAACCAGGTACTGAGCTAACACAAATTTTTGTCATACATAAATGAAAAAACATATTTATGTACTAAATATGTGAACTCTAATGTATTATAAGTAAAGAGGGAGAGCAAAGACCAGAATTCTTTTTGAAAAGCTGTAGCATTGAAAAAAAATCGGCAGCTTACTGCTCGCCTGTTTCTATGGAGGCACTTATTTCTTAAAACCTACCCCTTTCAAAATGCAGCCCTCTGCTGGCCTGTGTCTATGCAGGTGTTTCTTTCCTGTTTCTCTTTTCCTTAATAAACTTGCCATAAAAAAAAAAAATCCTTTGACATCTCACATAGTGATGCTGGTACAAATTTCCAGTGACAAGTGGGAAGGATTCTTGGTGCTTTGGCAGAGTGACTAGAAATTGATTGAAAATTGAAAATCTGAGTAGAAATTGATGAGTTATAATCAAAGAAACATTCACTTTGAATGTATCCAAAAAAATCACCAAGATAATAGGTAAATGGGGAAGTAAACCCAATTAAGAGACAGGTCTCCTAAAAATGGGTAATAATTTTAAGAAGAGAAAGAGAGAAACCTATAATGATAGCTACTTAAAATGAAATTTATTCAAGCTAAATGTGAGCTAAAAAAACCATGGTGCATAAAATGGAAACGAAATGTATGAAACAAACTGAAAGGATGAAGTATATATGGAATAATGAAAGTATTACAGTTCTGACACTATTGTGAGACAGAGTCATCAGGTTCTATCATAGAATCACTTACTGTACTTAGGCTCACCAAAATAATGTTATTTACTCCTAAGAAATCCAAGACACAACAAATAAAGTTACAATTCTACTTAGAAGCATCAATTTGTAAGTACAAAGTGTAGACAAATGGGTACAAGATTCACATGAATCATGTAGAAGAGTCATCTGTATTCAATATCAGAATAAATTTATTAAAAATAAGTAAATAAATAAAATCTATTTGTTGTGCCTGATCAATAGCTGATAGGCTTCAAGGGCTGGCTGTCCAAGACTTCAAACAAAGATATGCCAAAAAACTGATCAATTCAAAGAATCAGCATGGAAAGTATATACTTTGTACCTTAAGTGGTATCAAAACAAATCTTTCATATTAAAAAAAGTTTCTCTTAAAAATTTACATCTTTAAATAACTATAAGAAAGAAAATATCAAATCAACAAACAAATATGAACCAGAGACACTCTATGGGGGGTGGGGAGTTTGGGGTCAAAATAAGGGGGTTGTAATTGTATGGGGAATATAAAAAAATAAAAAATAAAAAAAAAGAAATTTACATCTTTAGATTGTAATGACATTAAATATGACCTGAAACAAAAACAAAATACATCTTAACATGAAGAAAAACATTGCTTAAAGCCATGTAAACAAACAAACAAAAAAACATATCCGTATCACATAACATACAGTCTTAAATCAACTCTGAACATAAAATTTTAGAAACTTTTGGACAGTAATAAAGTGAATCTTGGCAAAATTTTATGAGGTTCTTCAAATGTTTCAATAAAATATATGATTTAGGCACAAAAAATCATAGTGTCTCAGTGATATTTTTGAAACATCTAACCTTGATTTGATTCTTCCGAATTCATGCCTTCTCCAGATGCAGCCTCTGACATTTCTTCATCATCTTCATCATCATGTAGGTCTTTTGAAATTAACTGTCTAGCTAATTTAATATTCAGTCCTTCATTGTAGTGGAGCTTCCTCTTCATTTCAAACTGTCGCTTTTTTTCTACCAGATACAAAAAATAAGAGTAGGAAGTTTTTAGTGCAAAGATGGCAATCTATAGTTTGTGTCTAATGCTGCTTTTGTGCGCAATGGCAGAGCTAAGTAGTTCTGAAAGAGACTATAAGTTCACAAAACCTTAAGTATTTACTTCCAGGCCCTTTACAGAAAGTGTGCCAACTTCTGCTTTACATGGCTCAAATAAAGACAAATGAGTCATTTGTAGTTATACTTGTGAAGAACATTTAAAGATACAGGAAAATTCTCCAGAAATAAGTGAATGGGGAAAAAAAGCAAGATATACCACCACACACACATAACACAAATATAGAAAATGTACAAAGGCTGCAAGCATATATGTACACACAGAAAAACAACTCAATAACTAAAAGTGGTTAATTTTGGGTCACGAAACTATGATCCATGTTTTCGCATTTTCTATTTAGAAAAAAATTCCTTAAAATTTTGTATTACCCATGATTTAAAACATTGCTGGCTAAAAACATAGCATCATCCCCAGAGTAACTGTAAGAAAAATCTGTTAGAAGGAATAGTTAAGCAGTTACAGACTATTCTTTCACTTATAATCTTCCCCACAGAATCAAAGTTAGTAGCAAACTAACATAACTGATCATATTTTACTACTAAATAGCATTTTAAATATCTGTTTATGAAGTAGTTTTGTTTATGAAGTATAAGACTTGAAAATTTCTTAGACCAATGCATTAAAAAACAAAAAGGGGCTCAGCATAAAATTGCCAGTTGTTTATGTCAAAGTATTAAACTTACTCAACCAGTTTTATTATGATAGTCATAAAATTACATTTACAGTTCATGTCACTACTGATCAATGACTTTTCAGCCTCTGTTAGGAATGGGAGAAGGAAGTTCTCAGATATCAGATTATAAGCATTTGTTTCAAACTACTAGGACCTTGCCAGGCACCTTTCTTCTCTACTCATAAATTATTTTTGTGATTTATTTTATACTTTGAGAGTACCGTAATGTAATGGGAAGTAAAATAAAAAAAAAAATAAAAAAAAAAGACCATTCATAAAAAGACAAAATCCTCATGACTTTTTAGGGCTGGCTTTCAAGTATTCAGATGATTTAAGGCTAATATTAATAAACAACAAAAAATGGTTCTATTTCCAATACCATATAAGTTTACTAAAAAGTCAACACTTTTTCCTCATTACAAAGTAATACATGTTCATGGTAAAATTTTAAAAACTCAATTTCTTCACTCAGAAATTACCATAGCATTTTATGATTCTAGATTTTTTTCCTAAAAATGTATTTTTGTATCAGTGACTCATATGTTGTTGTATATGATTGTTTTTCCGCTGACTATATAGTTAGGATGACTGTGTAAGTCTCTGTTCAAGAAGTGCCAGTTCACGCATATTGTCTGATGGAACTGTAGTAATGACCCTTTCTTTCACTCCATGACTTTTTAAAAGTAACAACCAGCATTTAAAGAAAACAAAACAAAACAGGACTGTATCACATATAGTAAAGGTACGTAGCATTTTGTGAAATTCTTTTTTGTAATTCTATGTATACATGTATACTGAATGGGACTTTTGATATTGGTGAAAAATATTTGAAAAATATTGGAATAAATCTTAGAAATTGAATTGCTACATTAAAGGGTGTCATATTATTTTAAAACTTTTGGCTCATATATTGCCATACTGATATGTATATAAGTATGTAAGTAACCTATTTCTCCATTCACACCAGAAATTTTTATCTTTGTTGTTTGAAAGGAAAGTATCATGATGCTGTTTTAATTTGTAGTTCCTTTTTCCTAAGAGTTGATATTATAGTACTTCTCTCTTGTGAATTATATTCATAGTTTAAGAAAATGATTTATTTTTATTTCTAGTAGATACTGAATTTGTGGTTTTGCTTTTTTTAAAAAAAAGATTTATTTATTTATTTATACATACATACATACATACATACATACATACATACATACATACAAACACTGGGTACAGTCAGAAGCACAGGAGGGTGAGAGAATTCACCAGAGCCAGAGTGGGGAGCAGAGCAGGCAGAAGGACCGAAGTACACTGCTGAGTGGAGCAGCGGGCAGCAGGAGAGGTCTGCATGCCATGTGGGACCCTACTCCAGTGGCAGGAGGAGGGAGCAGCCAGGGATTGAACCGGCGCTGCAGAGGCTGCGGGCTGCAGGCTGCGGGCTGCTGGTTGCTTCGCAACCCAGCGCTCAACCACTGCACCGTCAGGGAGGCCCTGTGGTTTTGCTTTTTATAGATAATTATAGAATACTCTAAAATTATTAATTTAAAAACATGCATTTTTATTCATTTCACAGAAAGCTGCTAATACAAGAAATCTCAACCTTCTGGAGTAGTTGTATTCATTACTTATAATTCTTACATGGAGAACAATATAATGTAGAGAACAATACAAGGATATTCACGTTTGAGGCACAGCTCTAGTAATAAACCATTATCCATGTGAACTTGACAAGTTAATTATCCTTTTTATTTTGCTTTTATTAAAATATAATGGAGAATGTATCTATTATTTTAACTTATTAAAAGTTAGTATTTACTGGGCAGTTACAATATGCTAGAATTATTGTGAAGTACTTCAAATTTTTATCTCTCTTAATATTTAACCAATGACTCTTAATACTTTATAGTTCCCAATTTAGAAATGAAGAAACTGAGGTTCCAAAAAATTAAGCAAATTTGACATACAAACTTAGATCTGTCTTACTCCATTGTCAACATCTTAATTGTAATGCTATCAGTTATAAGATAATCTTTTCCAAGAATTTCTGTCAATAAGCAAGGTTTGCAGACATGCAATTTGTCTGAATTCATGAACTGAATTTGTGAAACTGTAAGTTATCAAATGGTTCTCCCTACTGGCAAATTCATGGAATTACAATTTGAGGGAAAATTTCCTTACAGAAATACTGACAACACATAGGTTAATATATCTTCTGTTCTCAAATATGCCGTCAGGTTTTTAAAGAATAATAAAGAAACAATTTCTATTTTAAACCTTTTCTCAAGGGCCTCTTGGGATATAATTTGGGAAAATAAGTCAGAAAGTCATGGAGGGTAGAAAAGATTTAATGTAATACAACTTGAGATTATACTATATATGAAATTCCTCTTGAAGGACAATTAGGTTCTGACCATCATAATTTTGTTGAGCAAATTATAATCTGAAATGAAAGAAAGGTAAGATTCCTGACAGTTAGCAAAAAAACTGAAACTTTAGTTCTAAAGTTTCTGAATTTCTGGATGTTTTTACGTATTTTTTTTTTTTAAAGATTTATTTATCCATGCGTACAAGAGCTGGCATACAGGCCAGAGGTGCGGCGGGGTGTGTGTGTGTGAGAGAGGATTCATCATAGACAGAGTGGGGAAAGAACAGGCAGATTGACCGAAGTACACTGCTGAGGGGGAGTAGCAGGCGGGTCAGGAGAGGTCTGCTGTGCCATGTGGGTTGCTCCCTGGTTGGGGATTGAACTTGTGCTGCAGTGGCTGCGGATTGCTTCATAGGTTATATCTTAACCCCTTGCATCACCAGGGAGGCCCTTTACATCTATCTTTTGCTAATGCAACTAGCAGCCTGTTTTGTACGTATGACAATAAATCCTTGAGCCAAACAAAAAATTAAATAAAAAAACAGTGTAAATGTTTAAAAAAAAAAAAAGTTAGTTTCTGGATTTCTTTATAGTACAGGTAGTACTCATATTTGAAGGTTTTCAAGTATATATACAATACTATCCTTTTCTTTTGTGAGGGTATGTGTTCTTTTCCTGCACCTGTTTACCTATACATAGGCTTGGTTTTTTCTTTTTAAAAGAGCTGGAAACTACACCAACAATTTTTTTTCTTGTGCTTATACATTCACACAGTTCAGAAAGTATAAAAAGCAACAGATGGAATATCTTCCTTCTGTCCTCATTTACCATAGATAACCACTGTTACTTATACAAACAGAAACAATGAGTAGGTACCAATGCTTTAACCAAGTAACTGTATAAGCTACAAGAGTTTCTTCCAACCCTGTTGAGAAGATTATCTTTAGCTCCTTTCCCCATTATGCTGCTTTCACTCTATCTCTTGGTTCATCTATAAGTTTTACACTCTCTTAAAATAAAAGCACAAGCAATTTGAAAATTACCTCTTATTTGCTATCTCTTTAGACCATCCACATTCAGTGACTCTAACAGCATTAATTTAATAAGTATTTATTGGATTACTCTCTATTCCAGGCCCTAAAAAGGTAAAAAGGTACAAAGGTACAGTTATAATTACTTTAAAGATGGTAGTTTTTCCAAAGTCATGAAATCAGGGTTGGAAGAAGAGCCTGATACACAATAAATCCACAGAAATACAACGAATTCTAAAAATGCTGCTCCATAATCTCCCACCATTCACTTCCCAAAGAGGAAAATCTCATGACAATCTTCCAAATAGTGGTTTTATTTTACCACAAATTGTTAGAAAAATATTGAAAGTAGTAAACAAACCACCTTGTTCTTCAGGTGAGAGGTCATTATCCTCATCTTCACTGCTTTCTTGTTCATGAACCCGATACTTTAGCTCTGAGCCTTCGGCAGCAGAGCCTAATCTATAAACAATCATTTACAGAGAAAGAAACACTGATATTCTTGAATTACTGAATGTCTTATTTAACTTTTGAGTCTCATAAAAACATCTGAAAATGATTAATATGCTAACTATAACCTGATGAGGAATGGGTGTAGAAACCAAAAAGCAACAAGCATGGAGGATGACAGAAATCAAAGAACAAAGGAATAGTGCTTTTGTTTATGAATTCACTTATTTTTGCCTTTCTCACCTCTATTTTTAAAATCTAGGTGGCAGGATATTAAAAACAAAACAAAACAAAAAACCACACAGGCAATTGACACAGGGACTCTATGTACCAGGCTATGGTACTCTTTCTGCTACTTGCATACCTTGGCTTTAATCTAGAAACAAGACTAGATAAGGTGCTGTGAAATATTCAGATAAATTTAGTATAAATTTTTAAAATTTATGCTTCAGTAAAATGTTTTCAACTTTGCACAATTAAAAATAGTGTAAGTGAAAATTCTTATAGATGTCAGTACTTACTTCTTAGCTAAGACATCTGGGGTAAGGACTTCAGTGGCTTCTGAAATCACTCACTGCCTCTTCATCATCACCTATCATACTGGGGATGACAAGC